TGATGGTGGTGGGTGGATGCTCAGTTATGTTTGACTCTGCGGCCCCATGGACTGTAGCCTACCAGGCTCCACTGTCCATGGAATTCCCCAGGCAAGAATACTGGAGTGGGTTGCCATTTCCTCCTCCAGTGATTGACCCAGGGATCGAACCATGGTCTCCTGCATTGTAGGTAGATTCTTTACCACTAGAGTCACTTGGGAAGCTCCAATAATGATGGTGACATTTTCTATTTCTATTTGCCTTGTTGGGTTTGCCACTGAGCAATGATATATAAACATATGTCTCATACATTCTGTGCATCCTCCCAGACAGCCAGGGATTGCATTCGAGGATGCTGATTGGAGACATGGAACAGGGTCCCAAGTGTCCTGGGGACTCAGAGGCAGAGCTGGGGTGTGACACCAGCTTTCTCACCTGTCACCCATGCTTTCCTCACATGCTCTTGGAGGCCACCAGGTGTGAAGGGAGCTGGGGAGGAGCAGCTGGGACCAGAGGAACCCAGTGCTCATACGGGTTCTAGAGCAACTTACTCAGAAGTGGGACCCAGTGCGCATATGGATTCTAGAGCAGCTTACTCAGAAGTGGGACCCAGTGTTCATACAGGTTCTAGAGCAGCTACTCAGAAGTGGGACCCGGGACTCACACAGGTTCTAGAGCAGCTAACTCGGAAGCAGGACCCAGGACTCATACGGGTTCTAGAGCAGCTAACTCGGAAGCAGGACCCAGGGCTCATATGGGTTCTAGAGCAGCTTACTTGGAAGCAGGACCCAGGGATCATATGGGTTCTAGAGCAACTTACTCAGAAGCGGGGCACCAGGGCTCATATGGGTTCTAGAACAGCTTACTCAGAAGTGGGACCCAGCACTCATACAGGTTCTAGAGCAGCATACTCAGAAGTGGAACCCAATGCTCATACAGGTTCTAGAGCAGCTTACTCAGAAGCGGGACCCATGGCTCATACGGGTTCTAGAGTAGCTTACTTAGAAGTGGGAGGAGTTTGTCCATTAACTGTCCTATTGTATCTCATTCCAAACTCATCAGAGGACTCAGCCACCAGGGAAGGACACATGGGTCCCCAGGATCCAGGAAAGGGGTACCAGGATCAGAGCATTCGTGATTTTAGGGCCAGGGAACTTGGCCTCTAGCTGGCTTTGAGACAGAGGCCCAGAGGACAGTGGGTAGTCCTCAGGGTCACAAATTAACAACTGGCTGCAAAAGATCCAGGCCTTCACTCTGCATGTGTCAGTGAGCTCCCCAAACAACCTAAGGCTCGGGGCCCCCAAGCTTTTGACATCTGGAACTTACTTTTGTTTAACTTTGTTTTTTATTAGTTTATTTTATCATGGTAAACATGATAAACATTTAACATGAGATCGACCTTCTTAAATTTTTAAGTGTTCAGTACTGTACTGTTGACCGTAGGCACAGTGTTGTAGCATACCTTTAGAACTTGTCCATCTTCTGAACTAAAACTTTATCTCTCCATCTCCCTCTCCACCCAGCCCCTGGCAAACACTGCTGCAGTCTTTGATCCTAAGTATCTGACTATTTTCAGATACCTCCTTATAAGTGGAATCACATGCTATTTGTCTTCCTGTGAATGGCTAATTTCACTTAGCATAATATCCTCAAAGTCCACGCTGTGACATATGGAGGAATTTCCTCCTTTTTCAAGGCTAAATGGTATTCCATTTAATGTATATACTGCCTGGTCTTTATCCTTTCATCTGTTGATGGACATTTAGGTTGCTTCCATATCCTACCTATTGTGATTAGTGCTTCAGTGAACACGGGCATATAGAGAGCATTTCAAGATTTTGGTTTCAATTCTTTTGGATATAGAGAAATTGAAACCCTTGCGTCCTATAGATGGGGATGCAAAATGGTGCAACCAGTATAGGAAACAGCACAGAGATTCCTCAAACAGTAAAAAATAAAACTACCATATGATCCCAGCAAGCCCACTTCTACATATTTAACAACAACAATAAACATCTAAAATCAGGACTGTGAAGAGATACCAACATTTGGAACTTTTAAGAGCAGAGATTCACAGAAAAAAAAAAAACTAATGACTCTCAGTGAGGATCCTTGACTGACCAACTCTTACTGAGACTTAAATAAAGGTTTGGAGATTTATTCAAAGACAAGTACATATGAACATCACAGGTGAAACATGGGAAATATTTTTTGGGAAATTTCAAGTTAAAAATGGCAGAGCAAGAAAAGATTCTCAAGTCTTTTAGATCCTATTCATTCTTGAACTTGAATTCAACACTTTTTCTATTGGCTGCTATTGTGCTTATGAAATCTAAGTTCTTATACTTTTCATGGGTCTGTCTTTTACTGCGTGAATAACATTTCATTAGTATAAATCATTTTTAACAAGCTTGAACTCAAGGGAGCAGCTGAAGACCAGGAATAACACAGAAGTGAAAGTGGGGAAGAGAACTCACCAGGAAGCTGAGACTTTCTGGCAGGAGGTCATGGGCATCACCACGCTTGATACTCACCATGGCTCTGGGAGGGGTGAAAGATCACCCTCTTCTCAGAAGAGGAGCCAGAGATTCAGAAATATCACCTGAGGTCATCCAGCCAGACACGGGCATACAGATAACGAAATGCGTGACGCCAAAATCAACAAATTACCTATACTTACAGCCACATCTTTTTTTTTTTTACCAATTTAAAATGTCCTTGTATTTTTAAAAATTCTCTTGTTTTAATATTTAACTTTTATTTTATATTAGAGTATAGTCAATTTACAACGCTGTGTGCCACCATCTTGATAAAAGACTAAACATCAAAAACAAATGTTGTGGCCAAAAATGTCTAAACTGCAGCTAGAATGTGATCAACATGTCACTTTACCTAAATAGCTATTATTTTTAAATAAGCATCTTAGGAACTGAGCTGATAGAATACGTTTTCTAAGCAAGCCAAAGAAATCAAGCCTCTCCTTCATTCCGCTTATGTTCCTCAGTTGGCATTCCTGCCTTGGAAGAGACAGAAAGTGGAATAAACAGGAAAAAAAAAAAAAGTGGGAAAAAAATAAAAGCTGTGCTTCTACTATTAGAGAATAGAATGCTCCAGTGTGCCATAATAACAGCTTTCTGAAATTACATGGCCAGTAGTTTAACTATGGAGGGGAAGAAAAAGAAAACTAAACTAAAATACCTAAAAACTTATACTAAACTCCTTAGAGATGCTCGTGATATTCCTCTGAATTTGAAAACTGATGTTACAGTTTTCATAAACCAAATTCTGCAAATTTAGACACAAACAAAACAAATATATTAACATTTTAGGAAGACATTCATTTTTACATTTATAATCATCTGTATCACACACACACACACACACACACACACACACATAATCTGGCAACTGCATAGGAGATAGGCTACACTTTTCTCTCATTAAACTTTTTGTATGTAATAATTGAAGTAAGTTTGCAATAAGAAAATAAATGACTTGAAATGTTTTCTGAGTTCTTTGTAGCGCAAAATTTACAAATTAAAGTGCAATTCCACTCAGGTCATCCATCCCTATGGTTTACCAGCAGAGGAGACAAATTTTGACATGGGAGTGGAGATCCCAGAGTCAGATGCCAGACCACCTGGAACAGGACTGATATATTTTAGAAAGAACAAACTTACCACATTTGAACGGTTTCCTAGACCTTTTAAATGATCACAGATTTACCTATCACATTTTCATAAATAATTTTAGATCTCAGCATCTGAATTATCAATAATTACATCATCCTAAACTGGACCCTAAGATATTCCATGGTTGAAAGTTAGTTCAGGCTGACCTGCAAAGAAGTGCCTCTATAATCAGTAATAGATTCTGCTAAAGCTACTGCAATATCTTTGCCAGTGCAAAGGGGAACAAATCTAATTGCAAATCCCAATAACAAAATCTCCTTGGGTTGGGTGTAATATCTGACAAAGCGTCTCATAACCCTCTTCCTCTCTCCAAATTTCCCAAGACTATCTGAACTGAGTGGTTTTGGGGTCTCACAAAACCAAACTTTACAGCAGCACAAAAACCTTCTAAGCCTCATGAGCCAAGGTTACAAAATTACTGCAAAGACCAACTGGAAGATCAGCAAGGAAGCATGCCCAACCAGACCTTCTCATGCTGAACCTCCCCACCAAGGTATCCCTACTGTCTCTGCAGTCACTCCGCAATGTTTGCACCGGGGGCAAGCAAATGAAGCCAAAGCCCCGCAGACTTAAGTGCTCAATCATTCTGACAGACGGCAGAGGAAGAGCAACATCAGGCCTCCGCACAAGTGGAATTTTGACAGACCAAAGTGTTAGGAGAAATACGACCCACTAAGGCATAAGAGAAAGAAAACCATAAGTTGTCTTTGACAACCTTAAAATTGGCACCAAATGTGTTCTAATAATGGCCTCATAAAGTTCGTGCATCTTCAGTGTCTAAGGTTTGTCCACATATTACATTAATAACTTAGTGTGGGCTGGTTTTCTGACCTTATCCCATTTCCCAAACCAAATATAGCACCCAAGAGTTAAGCAGGCTGAAGTTTCTGTACTAGCTCAGAGACAAGAACTGGAAAACTCCTGGGGCAGCTTATTCCATATGGGAAGATTTCCTCCAATCAGCCTTCAGGATACTCTTAAGTCCAAGTATTTCCTCCAGACATGCTCATTAGCCAGAGAGACTTGTGGTTCACAGCATCTAGTACCTGAATAGGCACTAGATTCACAGCATCAAGTTTCCAGCGCATCAAGTTTCCAGAGCCTTTTAGGTTTGCAAAACATCAAGTGTCTGCTGAGAAGCTCCTGTTTGCAGAATATCCAGTCGGGTGAGCCCACCTAGTCTCTGCAGAGCATCTGTGTTTGCAAAATATCTTTTGTGGGTGCAGCATTCAGGGTTTGCAGAGCACCTAATGTTTGCAGAGCACCCAGTGTTTGAAGACTCTGGTCTCCCAGCTCGAGACTGCGGGCTGGGGATGAGGATTACTCACCACGTTACAGCCTGCACAGTCAGGACCATTCTCGCAGGTTCTGCGGCGAGCTTGAATGCCACCCCCACACTGGGCGGTGCACCGTTCCCAGGGCCCCCATCCTGTCCAGAACACGTGTGGCGGGCACAGCAGGTGTTCGTTGCAGTATCTGTAACGGGGAAACCAAGAGGGGGGAAAGCAACCGTTTAGTGTAACGTGAGGCCACAGGCCTGTCCACTCTGCGTCCCTGCACCGGATGTCGAGCCCATGCGCATGCTCCGCGTGGAGGGGCGCTCCGTGTTCCGAGCGGTCGCACAGGGAAGCAGGCGGATGCGGCGCTGGCCATGCTGTGTGTGCACGGACAATGGGATGCGCGGGAGACAACGCAAAATGCTAGACTCACAATGCAGGGTGGAGCTTCCTGCGCAGCCAGTTAGAGGAGAAACAAACAAACAGAGCCCTTCAAATAGACGCTCGGAAAAATGAAAACACACACAAAATACCTAAGTAGGGCATTTATCTTCGAAACATAAACACTGAAAGATGAAGTAGGTTATGAATATAAAGTCAGCAAATTGCATTTGGGATTCATTTCTCATCCTTGAATCAAGTAAGGCCTGTAATCCTAGCAACATACCTTATAGAAAATTAGTCTAATTTTAGTATGAAGCTTCCAGCTACACACTGCCTAGGTTATTGTATTTTTAAATTTATTTGTGGATTCCCAGGATGATGCCCAACAACCTTAATTTTGATGAGCACCTGTTATCCAAAAAGACGTGAGTTACTGTTGACAACTAGTCCTATTTGTTTTAGTCACTGACTATATGTCTATGTGTATGTTCATATTACCAATTCTTAGCCAAATATACAAAGCCATCCTTAGCCTTAGATATATCAAGTATCTCCTCAGTCTTTCAAACTACAAGTGAGATCAAATGAAGTGAGAGAAACAAACAATAAGAAGGAGACAAGCTGGCGATGCATGGGTTTATGCTCACAGGTAAGAAGATGCTATTCTTCTTCATCAAGGGATCTTCCCTATCTCAGGCGTGTCCAACCTATGTTGCACTCAGGGAAACAGACACAATCCCAGGGTGTGCAGGACAGAACACACTTTTTTAAAAACTGAAATACAGTTAATTTACAATGTTATGTTAGTTTCTGGTGTATAGCAGTGTTTCAGTTTATATATATTCTTTTCAGATTCTTTCCCATTATACTTTACTACAAGGTATTGCATTTAATTCTCTGTGCTATATAATAGATCCCTGCTGTTTATCTATTTTTAAGGGACCTCCATACTATTCTCCATAGTAAGGAAAACACTATCTTAATGAGCGAAAAACAGAGGTAAGGAGCTGTTGCCAGAAAGTAAGAAAGGTAGTTTGGGCAGCATAGTTTCCTGACAGCAAATGCTGATATGATGCAACTGTTTTCCCATCAAATGAAGGACATTTAATGAATATGGTAGATGCAGGAATATATACAACCACGGAAAGCAAAAAGTCAGGCCAAGCTGAAAGGAGTCAACAGGATGAAGCACAGAGAACATCACTGGGCATTCTGTGAAAGAATGGAAAGCAGGAGTGGGTCTTCCCAGTAGTCATGTAGGGATATGAGAGCTGGACCATGAAGAAGGATGAGCACTGAAGAATTGAGGCTCTTGAATTATGGTGCTGGAGAAGGCTGTTAAGAGTCCCTTGGACAGCAAGGAGATCAAACCAGTCCATCCTAAAAGAAACTGACCCTGTGTATTCACTGGAAGGACTGATGCTGTAGTGGAAGCCCTAATACTTTTGGCCACCTGATGCAAAGAGCTGACTCATTGGATAAGATCATGATGTTGGGAAAGATTGAAGGCAAAAGGAGAAGGAGGTGGCAGAGGATGAGATGGTTAGATAGCATCACCGACTCAATGGACACAAATCTAAGCAAACTCCGGGAGACAGTGAAGGACAGGGGAACCAGGCATGGTTCCCTCCATGCGGTCACAAAGAGTTGGACATAACCTAGCAACTGAACAACAGGAATGGGAAGATTGTGGTTAAAAAGTGCTTAAAGAGAAGTGAATAGAAAAAGTCGATGAGAGTGGAATGACCTGTCATTATACAGATAGAGCGGAGGAACTTGAGCTTTATTTACAAGGACCCAAGGAAATCTCAAGCTCCAGAGAAAAAACGAGTACTGTCAGAGTTGGAGTGAAGACTTGGCTGCAGCAGTTGGTGTCTCGTCCTGCTGGTACTGGAGCCCTTGAGAGGAGCTGAGTTCTCCATGCTTGCATGGAGGTGGTGCTGAGTTCCCAAAGATGGATTAGGAGCTGATGGAGCGGATGCCAGCCAAGAAGGCGTGTTTGCAACAATCCGAGGCAGAGATAGCCTAAGTTGGACAAATACAATGGTGATGGCAAGAGTCAGGAAGGGACATCCGTGGGACATCCATGGTAGAGAGGGGAATATGATGGCAGCTGGTGGACATCAAGTTAAATAAATAAACAAACTGTGGAGTCTAACGTCAGCCTCTCCAGTGAAAATGGGTGGTGTGCTTACTTCTAGGGAGAGAGGGCTGATATTTGACAGCAGAGGGAGAGTCAGGGACTAATTGGGAAAATGGTTTCATCTTTCATTCTTCACATGAAAGAGTAGCCAGTGAAACTAAAGACTTCTCACTCTTCTTCATAAGAGTTTTTCAGGGCCTTGAGTCTCACAGCTTGGGACTCTAAAGACAGTCTTACATGTGGGAGGGAAGGGGAAGGAGGCTTCTAATTAAGAGAGTATGACCTTGAAAACAAAACTGAGAATACAATAGACGAAAAGCAGTAGACCTTTGCAAATGTGCAGAGTTACTAGACGTAAAGCAAAGTATCCTGACTCCTCAGTGACTATTAAAATCCATGTTGGTGCGATGGTTGTTCTATGAGGAAACTGCCATTTGTTTTAAGAAGGCGTTTGGAAGAAGTCAGTCAAGAAAACTCAAAACATCAGAATCCTTAGCAGTTAAAAATATCCACGAAGAGCCTTTCTCAATGTGGACAGAAGACCATCTCCAGTTTCCAAAGTGATGTTGCCGACATTTAAAGGGTCTGGAATTCCTCGACTCCTTGATGCTAACTTTGGCTTTCTAAATGAAAAACAAACCCACATTGAGAGTATAGCGGGCAAAGGAAAATCTTATTCATAGTACTCACAAAACCCTTGACTTTTTAATAAAAAGCATAGCAATGGAGCTACCACTCACCAAAAGGAAAGTAAATCTTAATGCACATATCCTTTCTCATCTCTGGCTACATCATGCTCCCCTCTGAACACACTCAGTGTATTATTACAGTTGAAAGTCTGCCGCAGGAGAACCTGATACTGTGTGTAGCCTAGAACTTACCATCCATGTTATAAATTATGTCCCTGGCTGCATTTTAAGGTGGTCAACAATGTGCTTCTCTTTCTTCTTCTATAATAGCTCCATGACAAAAGGCACACCAGATATTTTCACTGGTGTCCTCTGCAAGGGAAGTCAGAGAGAACTAGAAATTGCAAGGCTAATCTGTCATTTATGTCTAGGTTTCACTCAAAAATTCACCCTGGGGGACTCTGCTCAGAGGCTGAGCCCTTACAAGCTCCTAGCTCTGGATTCTCTGCATGTCAAAAGAGCACTGGCCCCCTGTCCTTCTTAATCTATCACCCAACAAACACGTGCCAGAGAGATGTACCTCTTGTTAAATTACAGACTGGTCCTCCGATATCTTTCTTGGTCACAAACAGTGGGGGTCTAACCCGCTCCAGTACTCTTGCCTGGACAATCCTATGGACAGAGGAGCCTGGTGGCCTGCAGTCTTGGGGTCGCAAAGAGTCAGACACAAGTGAGCGACTGAGCACACACCAAATTAGTTACCTCGGTGACTCTGGGTGTGCAAGGGTTTTTACTAATTTATGGATAAAATAGATACACAATATATCAGCCATTTGCTCTTCATTACTGAGCCCTTTATACACGGCTGGCTGTTACCAAAGGACAAGCTAAACAGTTTTGAAATCTTATTGGCTCTCCCAGACCACCAGCCTCTTAGAGCACTGATGGTCACAGATGCATTTCACGATGCATTAAAAATTAAGATTTTCATTTTGCTCATGACTGCTCATTCTCATTTTGCATTTCAAAATGAATTAATAGCCTGACGCTATTTCTCCATAAATTATCCATTTTTCCACAGACCTAGTCCCTGTGAAGAGAATTGTCTATCATAATCCTGCATGGACCAGATTTTCCATACCGTATCATGTTCCCTTGTCCTATTTCTTCACGCTACAAATTGTGTTCTGTTCTGGTTCCACCCATGTTGGTTTCTCATGAAACCTGTTAGCCTGAACCAATCAGAGCCCTGTGAGAACTGTTTTCTCCTTGATTTACTTTTAAGTGATCGTTGCTTTTCTGGGCCACACTGGGAGAATGGAATCTTCTGTGGTACCAGAGAAACTCTACAAGTATTGAGTTCTTCACAATATTATTTTTTTTCCGCAAGAAGAAGCTAAGGGAACCATTAGGAAAGAGTAGTGATAATGACTTGCAAAGAGCATCACTTTGGCTCATCACGGGATTAAGCAAACTTGCCTGTGCAGACAGAAAAATCGTATCATAAACCCCGATTGGTGGCTGGGTCTCTTTACTTTGATAATACAACTGAAAGACTCTAGTGTGGTCTTCATGAGCCTCACTTCTTGGAATTGACATCTTGTGTAATTCCTTCCCACTCAGTGTGGGTGGGACCTGTGACTTGCTGCTAATCAAAGAACATGGCAAAGACGACAGATTGTCATTTCCATGATATGTTACCTAACCCTGTAACGTCCTTCTTTTAAGAAGTTCCTTTTCTTGCTGGCTCTGAAGAAGTAAGCAATCAGATGGGAAAGTCCCAGAGGCAATGAACTGAGAGCAGTTTCTGGAAAACAGTTTCAGTCCAACAACACAGGAGGAATCTAGGAAGCAGACCCTTCCCCTTGCCAAAGGACCCTCAATGAGGCCAAGGCCACAGTCTCTACCTTGGTGCACCCTTGAGTGATGCTGAAGCAAAGGGTTCAGCTAAGCTCGGTCCAGGCCACGACCCCAGAGACACTGTGAGCCAATAAAGCATGTGGTGTTTTAGGCAGCTAAGTCTGAGGCAATATTTTTATGAATGACAACTAGAACAGATCTTGATACTTAGACACATGGTGCTACTTTAAGAAATATCTAAAAAATATCAAAGAGGCTTCAGGACTAGAAACTGAGTAGAAGCAAGTAGAATTTTGAGAATCATGGTAGAGAAAATTAATTCCTTTGAATGAACTGTTAGTATAATATTACAGAAGAATATTATTCAGCCTGAAAAGCAATGAAGTTCTGATACAGGCTACAAGATGAACTTTGTAAATGATATGCTAAGTGAAATAAATGAGGTACAAACTAGAAAAGATTATATGATTCTACTTACTCAATGCTTAAATCTTCTAATAGGCAGATTTATCAACTGTTGGTTCCAGAGTTCTTGTTTCGGGGGATGCAGAAGTTTTGGAAATGGTGTTATGGTTGCCCAATACTTAAATGTAAAAATGCTACTAAGTAAAACTCTTAAAAATGGTTAAATGGCGATTTTATGTCATGGGCTTTGCTGATGGCTCAGATGGTAAAGCGTCTGCCTGCAATGTGGGAGACCCAAGTTTGATCCCTGGGTAGGGAAGATCCCCTGGAGATGGAGGAAATGGCAATCCACTCCAGTATTCTTGCCTGGAAAATTCTATGGATGGAGGAGCCTGGTAGGCTACAGCCCATGTGGTTGCAAAGAGTCAGACACGACTGAGCGACTTCCCTTCCCTTTATGTTATATGTGTGTGTGTGTGTGTACATATGTATGTGCATGCATGTTCAGTCTCTTTATGACCCCACGGACTGTAGCTGCCAGGCTCCTCTGTTCATGGGATTCTCCAGGCAAGAATACTGGAGTGGGTTGCCGTTTCCCTCTCCAGGACTTCTTTCTGACTCAGGGATCAAACCCACGTCTTCTGTGTCTCCTACACTGCAGGTGGAGTTTTTACCACTGAGCCACTGGGGCAGAAGAAAAAAGAAAAACTGAGGGAAATAATATTAAACAGAAAGGAAATTCTTGGCCTCTCCTGATGGCAAAAGAAACTAACATGAAGAGTCAGTTTCTGAGCACCACCAGGAAAGGCTGGCAAAGAGTAAAAAGTTGTCACTGAACAACCTTTTGTTAAAACCTCAGGAGTGTTAAAAGATCAGAGTAGTGTTCAGTCCCATAAGGAGTCCTTTTAGAAGTTCAAGAGCAAGCGTCGCAGATCCTCTCAATCACAAGAAAGCTGTCTTAGCGGGAGCCCCAGGTAGAGAAGGGCCGTCTCAGAAAGATCTGTGGGTGTAGACTGTTTAGTGGAGCAAAGCCCAAGGAAATTCATGGCAGACTTCTGAAGTTGACTTCAGCAAAATGATCACCAGGTGAGACTGAATATATGGAGAAAGTACAAATGAAATGAGGCTGTTGGAAACCCAAACTTCCACTGGCAGGAAGCAGGCTCATTAAACTAACCAGCTGCAGGCACATGCTACCTTTCATGGAAAAGGAAGGATCAAGCAGGAAACAGACATGAGAGCAGAGCTAAGAACTGTGGAGAATTATGCTCAAGCTTTGCAACTTCATCAAGCAACTCCGTACACTTGTCTGCGTAGATCTCAGACTTTTTATGGAAATTTCTTTGTACCTTCCATTTCCCCCTCTTTGAACAGAAGTAACTGTAGCTCTTATCCTCTGCCTGCCCCACCATGTGTCCACTGAGCGTGTTGGTGTCCAGATAACTTGTCTCACACTTTAAGATGGACAGGCTGAAATGAACTACACCCAGGGAGACTCATTCACTTTGGGTCTGGTTTGAATAAGGCTCCAGATTTGGGGAGATGACTGAGTGGTATAAAACTGGGAGGAAACTGGAGATGGGGTGAACTGCATGTTGTATGTGATAGGGACAGTTCATCATTGATGGCAGATAAACTCTGTCATTGATGTATGATGTACATATCTTCCCTTTTGATTGAGCACTAGGTCTGTGACTTTCTTCTAACCAATAAAATATGGCAAGGTGTGGGTATATCACCTTTGTGATGACATTACATAAGACAGTAATGTTCATTTTGCAAGGAGATTCTCTTCCTTGTCGGATTTGAGGAAGCAAGTGACCACGTTGGAAAGGCTTGTTTGTCAAAGAACTGAGGACAGTTTCAGACTGACAACGAGTGAGCAATTCAGGTCCCCAGTTTGATGGAAATGAATGCCAATAACAACCACGTGAACTTGGAAGTAAATCCTTCCGTAGGTGAGCCTCAGATGAGACCACAGCTCTGGCCAAGCAGAGAACCCAGGTGGATCACACCAGAACTCCTGATCCACTGAGACTGGAGGTGATAAATGTGTGTTGTTTTAAGTCAGTAAGTTTGTAGAACTGTTGTTACACAGCAGGAGAAAGTGAATACAGACAAGGATATTCACATTTCAGTAATATTTACAGAGGGGTCCATTGCTTCATCCTTGTGGGTAGCCTCCCTGGGAATCAATACTTCTATTCAGTTTCTGCTACTCAAGAAAATAATTTTCCAGGAAATTTTGGAACAGAGAAACAAATGCCCAGGCCTTTTAAAGTACATCTAGAATAGAAATTGGATATTTTCTTTATCCATTATTTAGACAAAAATCGATGTGAACGTTTTTGAGATTTCTGTTGCAATAATGTTCTCACTGAATTTTTCACATATTGGAGATTTTGTCACAAATAAAAACTCACTCACTACAATCCTAGCATTAATTTAGGGACCTTACCAGGAGAGTCAATTTATTCATTTGGGACCACTCAGGAGTTTTTTAGGTTTATTGTTTTTCAGTTACCAAGTTGGTGTCTGACTCTTTGTGACCCTATGGACTGCAGGATGCCAGGCTTCCCTGTCCCTCACCGTCTCCCAGAGCTTGCCCAAGTTCATGTCCATTGCATCGGTGATTCTATGCAACCATCTCATCTCATTGTATCTCATTTTTAGGTTTGATGGTGTTTAAATAAGCATGATGTGACTTCATTAATGAGTGTATATGTCTAGCCCTTGTTCTTTCGTACCTTCCCATGAAGATCAGGGTCTCCTTTAATCCTGAGTTTAGTTCTCAAATATCTCTTTTGTCAAAATCAGGATGATATTTCTTTGTATTACTTAGGTAGAGAGACTTTCCACATAACATGACAAAGACCCTAAGAACTCTTTGCTAGTGAAGGCCAAGAAAGAGATGCGATGCATTTGTTTTTTTCTAGCTTTCATTAACTTCTCAATCACCCCCTAAGAAAGGCTGTTTCAAAGGGAGATTCCCTGGGGATACAGGCCCTGTTCTTATCATCCACATGTCTATTACTTAGTCCAAGTTACCTCCTCAAGTGACTATTCATCTAGTCCAAAAATGTTTCTTCTGTAAAATGAGAACACTTTAAATGAAAGTTCCCCAAACACATTAACCATTCTGATCTTTTTCTGAAAATGAAGCTTTAGGAACACTTGAAAATGGATACAGAACATATATGGATGTTAACCACACAATTAACCAGCTTCTTCCTTCCTGTGTGCTCAGCTTGGGAAAGGTGATAACAGGTGTGAGGTTTGTGGAGGTGCTGTGATTCTAGGGGTGGATAGAGGTCACTTTACCTGAATGGGCTCTATTAGGTGATAATATACAGCATTTAAAACTTCTAGCCAATTTAAAACCTTCTAATGCTGGAAGACATCTTTCCCATAATCGACTTTCCCACTTATCAACGGGTATCAGATTGGAAATGACAGGCTTGGGTTAGACTGTCACAGGGTACTACTTCAAAAACAACCAACTTTGCCTTGTAGAAATCATCATTCATTTTTCTCTGAGTCAAAAGAATGCAGTCTTAATTGGTGATTTAGGAACACAATGAAGAGAGAGAAAAATGATTCTCTCCAGTTAATTTCAGGTTGCAATAAATATCTGGTGGAGAATTACCTACCCACTAAGCCTGTTGGCTTTGTCTATATAAATATTAATCACATAAGCCAATAACTGCATAGGTATTTTTACGAGGCTCCCACTGAAGTCATTTCACAGGATACAAGTCTTACTACAATTTAATTAAAAAGTACTGAAAGCCAATTTGCTTCTCATGGACCAAGAACATAAACTGATGTGAGTATGGAGAGTTAAAACTCACAAAGGTGATGTGAAATTCACCTACCTGGATTTTCTCCCAATAACCATAAACGAGGATGTACTTTAATGGAAGGAAGAGCCAGTTATCACAACTGCAGATTTATAAAGCTGAAACCAAATGTTTGAGTCTACAAAGAGCAACAAGTCGTTAAACGTGAGACTGGACTGAAATGTCCCAGGGAGGTGCTGAAAGCTTAAAATACACATGGAAAAGGAACCTCCACTCTGGGTTGTCCTGCAGGTTCACTGAGAGGTCCTGTTAATAGACAAGGGTGTAGCTGTAATTATAATAAAAATGCTGACTATGGCTCTCACCTGGAGAACTTACCTCTTCTGATCAACACCATCTGGACCCAGGACCAGCTCAGGCCCTATTTGGAATTGGAGGTGTGAGACCAGTCTAGCGGAATTTTAACAAGAGCAGTCATTCCCCAGCAGACTCACTTGCCTCGTCTCTGGGCAACCCAGCACAGAGATGCCCGCTGTCCCTGGATCTCACATCCCTCAAGAGCCGCTGGGCTGAGCGAACTCTGGAGGCTCCTCAGCGCCCCCACCAGTGATGCTGTCCACCCCAAGCTTTGGTCGAAATTAAAGGATGAAAGGAAAGAGGAGGGTCATTCGGCTCAACAGAAAAGGATGCCACAGACAAGCTGAGCTGGATCCGGAAACTGAAACCGCAGGGAAACCGACCGCACCGGGATGACAGGAAGCGGGAGGGTGGCGACCCGGAGGCACAGAGGGTAGGTACCCACCTCTCCTCGCGGTTCTGCCCCACGCACACCCGGCCCCCGTGCCGCGGGGTGGGGTTGCTGCAGGACCGCTGGCGCACCTGGAAGCCGATGCCACACGTGGTGCTGCAGGGGGACCACGAGGTCCAGGGGGTCCAGCCTCCGTTCCTGGGGGAGGAAGCAACAGGGTCACTGGGGTCAACCTGCGCGAGGCCCAACCTCCACCTGCACCCGCCCCCAAGTTCACACGGGGGTTCCCCCACGGGGACCACTGACCGCGAGCTGCGAAGGCCACAGGAGCAAGGAGCCCTGGGAATCAACGAAATGTACTGTCTCGGAACCACAGTTACCAGGAAGTCCGTCCCTGCCCCCCCGAATCTGATTTTCGAGTCAAAAGAGAAAACTTGAGAGTCAAGTTTTACATGTACTTGCAAATAACTTAAAAAACGGGCTAATTAGAACCAAGAAAGCTTAGTGGTGAAAATGTTAAGCTAATGAAAAATAATGCTACCTTTGTTTTTTTAAAAGCAATTAGAGATGCATCCCTGAACCTTTGGCCTTTATGATTTTATTTGATTTGTACTGTATCAGTTATAATCTATGAAAAGGGCACATTGAATCAAATAATCATCTAAATGTTTCCTTTAAAATCTATTAATATCAGTGAAAATCAGTAACTCTCTTGATGGCATTCGTATTGATAAAGGGTACTATAATGTCCAAAGCCATAAAACAAACTTTATTAAAAATGAAGAAAGAATATTTTAAATTCAGATTGTTGGCTATTCTCTAATAATCTGACAAAGATATAGAGTATATAGAGTACAAATAGGAAGTGCCAATATGTATATCTTTATTTATGTTATTTTATACATGTATAAAATAAGGCAGATATATTAAAATATAAAATAAAAAACTTTTATAAAAGTGGGTTGTGCAATAAACTGCTACTAACAGCTAGAGAAAAAATTTTGTTTAATATTGTATTTTTTTCCTTAAAATGTCTGCCTGTAGAATATTTATAATTTAAATATCTCTTTAGCAGTTTGTCCCCACTATTTAAAAATAAACTATAGGAATTTTTAAAAAATTTAAGTAATATTAATAACATATATGTTAAAACCAGAGTCCAGACTCCCATATAGATGGTGAACTGCATGTAGAATTTTTTCTCTATTTCTCTATTCGTATATGCATTTCTAAATAGCTGTTACTCTCATCTATAGTATTTATATTTCCAGTGAAATAATTCTTATTTTACTTTATATATTCCTTTAAAAGCACGGAGGTGCACAGCTATACCACTGAAGCTCAAGGTATAAATAGCACACTGTGTATGTAATTTCTAACACAATTTCAAATGAAAGCTCCTCTGAGAAAATTCTTATCATGTTTCATATTTCCCTACTTTATTTTCTTAAACTTAAAAATAATCAAAATCAAAATAAAGTGATACTTCGAGGTATGATATAACAAAGCTGCTTCATAATAATTTAACCAAAATAACACAAAATAAGACAGATTTCTGAAGCTGTTTCTACAAGTAATTAGTACCTTACATATCATTTCTCACACTATTTTAAAAAGTATCCAAGTAATGTAATTTCAACATAAATAAAATGAAAATATAAATAAAAGAAACATACATAAATAGAAATAAAACATAAATAAAATAAATTTCAACATAAATAAAAAGAAATTTTTAAAGTTTCTTTTATATGAAAAAAGTTTAGATAATGCAAGAAACACTGCTCCCAAAATTGCTTGGAAATTCTTAACTTCCTAAACCTTTTAACAAACGTGACACCTTATGATGTAATCTACTTGCAATCTATGGAACCTGTTGTATACAGGGAAGTAGGTATTTTAAATATTAGGAGTGTAATACGTTAGGGAATTAATGAGTGCACTGTCCACATATGTGACTCTTCTATGGAGCTGGGTTTGCACACCTCAGAGCGCTGCTTAGAGGAGCTGTAGCAGCCGGCAACCAAAGCAGCAGCATTGAAAGTCAAAGTGCTAGTTGCTCAGTCGTGTGTGACTCTTCGTGACCCCACGGACTGTAGCCCACCAGGCTCCTCTGTCCATGGAATTCTCTAAGGCAAGAACACTGGAGTGGGTCGCCATGCCCTTTTCCAGCGGATCTTCCTGACCCAGGGATCGAACCCGGGTCTCCTGCACTGCAGGCAGATTCTTTACCAACTGAGCCCCAAGGAAGCCCAGAGTAGCATTGTCACCATATATCAGCAGATGGATCATTTTTTTTATTAAGTCAGTCAAAAACAATCCACTTAATGCATTTAAAACATCACTGAAACAGGTTTGTTTACTAATATTTGATTTTTAGTCTTAAAATAACCACTAATTGTATCACAGCTCCTTTTAGTGAAAGGCATTCCAAAACTAGAGCCAGAGCTGAGCAGGCATCAATAAAGTCACAAGAAGGTCTGTGACAGTCCTTTTTTTCCATTAAATAATATAAAATAGAGTACTACTTATTGACTGTAACCTTCCAACAATAACAGTTCTATAGCTTTTATGAAGTCTTTGCCAGGCATCAGTGGAAACCATCTTAGTTTTATAGAAATGATGCAACACATAATGCAATGTTGATATGCTCTTGTTTTCCGAAATAATACAAATAATCTGACGCCTGTAGCCTTAATGGGCTCCTTTTTGACTGTGTGGAGCATCTGAGCTGGCCTACAGAGATGGTGAGTAGAGGGCAAAATCTGCCCTTGCACCCTGCCTCTCCTTATCTGACTGCCCTTCCCTTCTTGGGCAGGCAGTGTCCTCACGCCCTGGGTTGCCATACAATGTGGTCCCCCAACATGATTGTCAGTGTGAGTGATGTCACAGACAACTTGCCCAGAGGTCTCTGCATTCTAAATTGGCTCTTGGAAAGAAGACAACAAATCCTACAATAAGTGAGGAGGGTGAGTGTGGACACTGATCTGAGAAGCTTTCCTGCTGCTCCTTGCTTTTTAAATTTTTTACATATTTTTATTGCAGTATGGCTGATTCACAATATTGTGTTAGTTACAGGTGTCCTTGTGTTTGCTTTAAATATGACATATTGATTGGGAGACTGGGATTGATGTGTGCACACTGCTGATCTTGTGTGTGTATGTGTGATGCTCAATCACGTCTGACTCTTTACAAACCCTGTGATTATAACCCACTAGGCTTTTCTGTCCAGGGGATTTTCCAGGCAAGAATACTTGAGTGGGTTGCCATTCCCTACTCCAGTGGATATTCTTGACCCAGGGATCAAAGCCAGTGATACTATGTATGAAACAGATAGCTAACGAGGGCCTACTGTATAGCGCGGGGGACTTGGTTCTCTGCGGCGCCCTAGATGGAAAGGAAATCTAAAAAAGAGAAGACATCTGTATACGTATAACTCATGCACTTTGCTGTGCAATAGAAACTAATGTAACACTGGAAAGCAACTATACTCCAGTAAAAAAAACAAAAAAAGGAACATATTACTGTGGCCACAGCACTATACATGGTGCAGGGAACAGAGGAGAAAAGTGAGTATGGTTGTAAAAAAAAAAAATAATAAGCCAACAACAAAACAATACACAGACAGCAGAAAGCGTCCTCACGGCTCACACTATGTGAGCCATCCTCCAGGCTATTCAGCAGCGGATATTAGCTGCGTTGGGGTGTTCTGAGCACTCCGGCAAAGCTATTTCAGTCCTCTCTGACTCTCTGTGACCTCATAGACTGTAGCCTGCCAGGCTCTCCTGTCCACGGGATTCTCCAGGCAAGAACACTGGAGTGGGTTGCCATGCCCTCCTCCAGGGCATCTTCCTGACCCAGGGATTCAACCTGTGTCTCTCATGTATCCAGTATTGGCAGGCGGGTTCTTTACCCCTGGCACCACCTGGGAAGCCCGTTTGGAACGCAGCACAGAGCTTTTTGATTAAAGACCTGGCCTCTGTCTCCCGGCTACTGTCAGAGAGCATACTCATAGATGCTGTGGTCTGTCTGCCTTTCTCCAGATGCTGAGGGTATTGGCAGTGATAACTCTCAGGTGAGAGAATCTAACACCATCAAGGGGTCCTGCAGCTACAGAGCTCCTCTTGTCACCAGCTGCAGTCTTTGTGGGGCCTACAGCACAGCTCACCCAGCTTCCTGCCTTCCCCTCATCCCACCTGGAGATGTGCAGAACCCTCCCCATACGTCCTGCACACAACCTCGCTGTCAGAGTGGTCCTCCTGACCAACCAGGACGGATGCAGGTCTTGCTCCTAGGAAAAAAGTCCCATAAAAGTAGGTATATATAGCCATCGTTGGAAGATGCAGACTTATTTAGATGACAAAAGCTGTGTCAAAGCTCCAAGCCTTCCTTGACATTCTACCTTTCTATTGAGCTAGCTCGAGGTTTGTCTCCCTCCATTCCTTTCTCCTTCCCAAAGAATTAGAATTTAGAAGGGGTGTAGACATTCATGTGTTCACTTTAATTATAAAATTAAACCAGATTTTCTTGATTGATAGGAAGTCTGACTTGGCCCCAGTTTGATAATAGAGTCTGGCTTAGCTAATTACCTTATACTGTGGATTTATTTCCATAAATTGAATACCCTTAATCTGTAGCTCCAAGATAATGACAAATTTAAATGGTGTGATATAAGAGCATTTAATCAAAGATATTATATTTGCCAAATGTATTGAATTAGCAATATTTTGAATTGCCCAACACTTTCTGAGTATATTAAGTTAAACAATAACAATGAAAAATGAAGAACGGGTTTAACTTAGAGTCATTAGATCAGTCTTTGTAAAGGCTTTCTGATGTACGTTGCACAAATTGAGGAAGTACTTGACATCACTGACTGAGCCAAAAAAAAAAAAAAATCAGTTTGCAAGTTAGGTGGTTTCCACTTTTCTGTTTCCAACAAAACTGAGGCCAACAAAAACAAGTTATCAACTGATAAAGGGCACTAGAAACAATCTCTCATGTCAGACTACCATAGTTTTGGCAGATAGCTTCAAAGGAATATGTAAACTAATAAGCCCTTGCTGCTACAAAAGCAAATATTAGCTGCGAACAGGCCTTGTTCACTTGGCTTCTCACAACTGTCTCTTTCCTTTGACAGCACCAGGGGCTCCCAGTGGATAGAAGCAAGTGAGTGCTATGGTTCCTCCCTCCCGACCCTGCAGGGAGGTGGTTCATAAGGATGAAAATCAAATCTGGTGACACCCATAAAACCGCAACATGGCCTGTTTTTGCCAGTGATGGAGTCCTAGCTTCCCATCCTTCAGGCATGCTGAGATGTGCACCCATGGGAGATTTCCATCAAGCAGATGGGATGCTCCTGGCAGCTGAGCATCCTCTTCTGTTACCATGACAGACATGATCCCCGAGTCAGGCAAGGACAGAGATGCAGGCACAGTGTATGAACTTATGCGTTCTTAGATTCCCCCTTAAGTTGTCAACCAAAAATTATCGCTAATAGCTTATATACCAGTAAGTGACACTCTCATGTGGATTTGGAAAGCCATGTGCACTTTTAGAGGGGCTTTCCAGACGGCACAGTGGGAAAGAATCTGTCTGCCAAAGCAGGACATGTGGGTTTGATCCCTGAGTCAGGAAGATCCCCTGGAGAAGGAAATGGTTACCCACTCCATTATTCTTGCCTGGAAAATCCCATGGACAGAGGAGCCTGGTGGGCTACAGTCCATGAGGTCACAAAGAGTCAGACACAATATAGTGTTAAGATATTGAAATATGCACTTTAAGAAGTAGGGTCCTCTGAGTGTGAGCACCAGTGTAGGATAACTTTGGTGGTTTCAGAAGTGGGCCCTAGAGTTGATATTCCTGAATCTGTAAAGGACCAGTCTAGCGTAACAACTCAAGCTCCCATGTCCACACAGGTACTTGCCATTGGTCAGCTGTTGCTCACAATGTTTATACTTGGACAGTGTGGTTTTTGGACTCTGTGTCTCCATAGCAAGCTACTCACATGCCTTCTAAAAGAATGGTGATAAACTAGATACCCTTCATATACTTGTAAGTTGTCATTGAATTCTCTTTTCACCGAAAGCTTCAAATGTTGCAAAGACATTTCTGTTACATCACTATTTGAATGTATGAATGGAATTTAAATACCACAGAGATTTGATAGTCACCTTCACATTTAAAAAATTGATGAGCAGAGTCTAATTTAACATTCAGAAACTGTATGCTTTTCCTTCTTCTAACATTTTGCATACTCGAAACACTTTTCCAAATCTAACAATAAACACATGGATAGGTTTAGATTTACCTAAACATATAAAGAGGCTTACAATCTGATTTGTAATTTTTTAAATTGAGTTATAGTTGATTTGCAATATTGTGTTAGTTTTAGTTATATAGCACAGCAATTCAGTTATGCAAATATATGTATACGATGCATACGTATATAAGTGTATTGCAAATTAGATTTTTAATTTAAAATCTCCTCCCATAGATCATGTCATTTTTAAGTGGTCAATGTCTCTTTTTGTGACCTTTCTCTTGAACAGGGAAGGCATGTATTGGAAGTGATTTCCCAAACGCCTGGACAAGCTGGGTTTACACCTGTGTTTAAGCCCAATCATCAGGAGGGACACACCTGGAGCAGTTTGCGATCTCCATGCGGGGGCCCTGGCACTGCCAGCCGCCACACTGGGGGGCCGGGCTGTCGCAGGAGCGGGTGCGACAGAGGCAGGATCCCACGGCGCTGCCGTCCGTGTGCGTGCAGGGTGTCCACGGTGACCACGCGCCGAAGTGCCCGTCCACGGTGAGATTCCTTGTCTAGGAAGCAGATATACGCAAGGATGTCAGAAAGGGTTAAGGCTGCAAACATGATAAGAGAAAAAAATGAGGTCTCCCATGAGACCATCAGAGCTTCTTTGCAATATCTCATATTGCAATCAAAAGAGAGGAAGGGGAAGTAGTTGGAAGGAAAGCAGCAGAGGCCACGGGTGGAGAGAGGGAAGAGTGGAGGAGAGGAGGGGGGGGAGGAGGCAGAGGGGAGGAGGGAACAGAGGGAAAGGAGGAGGGGGAGGGGAGGGTGCTAATGACCTGTCAATCAAACCAATGCAGGGTGGTCTACTCTAGTTCTTTTTTCTTTAATTTATTTAATTGGAGGCTAATTACTTTACAATGTTGTAGTGGATTTTGCCATACATTGACATGGACCGGCAATGGGTGCACATGTGTTCCCCATCCCATCCCTCAGCCCTGAGCGCCCTGTCTCATGCATGGAAGCTGGACTGGTGATCTGTTTCACATATGATAACATATGTGTTTCAATGCTATTCTCTCAAATTGTCCCACCCATGCCTTCTCCCACAGAGTCCAAAAATCTGGTTCTTCTTGTTGCTGTTGTTTTTCATAACAAAACATCTTTTATTTGTGAGGAAGCCATATAAAACTTATTATGAGTAGGTATAAATTTAAGTATAATTTTAGGAATCAAATTTAGGACTTCCCTCGTAGCTCAGATGGTAAAGTGTCTGTCTACAATGTGCGAGATGCAGGTTTGATCCTTGGGTCAGGAAGATCCCCTGGAGAAGGAAATGGCAAACCATTCCAGTACTCTTGCCTGGAAAATCCTATGGACGGAGGAGCCTAGTAGGCTACAGTCCATGGGGTCTCAAAGAGTCAGACTCTTTGAGTGAAATCACTTTCACTTTTAGGAATCAAGAATAAAGGACACCCTCTCTCCTCTTCTAACATGCCAGAACAGAATGGATCACAATAGGCTGTAACTGTTGAAGCTAAAGCTAAACAGTAAAAGGAAAGATATACCCATCTGAGTGCAGAGTTCCAAAAAATAGCAAGGAGAGATAAGAAAGCCTTCCTCAGCGATCAATGCAAAGAAATAGAGGAAAACAATAGAATGGGAAAGACTAGAGATCTCTTCAAGAAAATTAGAGATACCAAGGGAACATTTCATGTAAAGATGAGGACAATAAAGGACAGAAATGGTATGGACCTAACAGAAGCAGAAGATATTAAGAAGAGGTGGCAAGAATACAAAGAAGGACTGTACAAAAAAGATCTTCATGACCCAGATGATCACAATGGTGTGATTGCTCACCTAGAGCCAGACATCCTGGAATGTGAATTCTAGTGGTCCTTAGGGAGCATCACTATAAACAAAGCTAGTGGAGGTGATGGAATTCCAGCTGAGCTATTTCAAATCCTGAAAGATGATGCTGTGAAAGTGCTGCACTCTATTTGCCAGCAAATTTGGAAAACTCAGCAGTGGCCACAGGACTGGAAAAGTTTTCATTAAATCCCAAAGAAAGGCAATCCCAAAGAATGCTCAAACTACTGCACAATTGCCCTCATCTCACATGCTAGTAAAGTAATGCTCAAAATTCTGCAAGCCAGGCTTCAGCAATACGTGAACCGTGAACTTCCAGATGTTTTTTAGGAAAGGCAGAGGAACCAGAGATCAAAGTGCCAACATCCACTGGATCATCAAAAAAGCAAGAGAGTTCTAGAAAAACATCTACTACTGCTTTATTGACTATGCCAAAGCATTTGATTGAGGATCACAACAAACTGTGGAAAATTCTGAAAGAGATGAGACTACTAGAGCACCTGACCTGCTTCCTGAGAAACCTGTATGCAGGTCAGGAAGCAACAGTTGGAACTGAACTTGGAAAAATAGACTGGTTCCAAATTGGGAAAGGGGTACATCAAGGCTGTACACTGTCACCCTGTTTTATTTAACTTATATGCAGAGTACATCATGTGAAATGCTGGGCTGGTTGAAGCACAAGCTGGAATCAAGATTGCCAGGAGAAATATCAATAACCTCAGAAACGCAGATGATACCACCCTTATGGCACAAAGCGAAGAAGAACTACAGAACCTCTTGATGAAAGAGGAGAGTGAAAAAGTTGCCTTAAAACTCAGCATTCAGAAAACTAAGATCATGGTATCTGGTCCCATCACTTCATGGCAAATAGGTGAGGAAACAATGGAAACAGTGATAGACTTTTTATTTTGGGGGCTCTAAAATCACTGCAGATGGTGACTGCAGCCATGAAATTAAAAGATGCTTGCTCCTTGGAAGAAAAGCTATGACCAACCTAGATAACATATTAAGAAGGAAAGACAATACTTTACCAACAAAGGTCCATCTAGTGAAAGCTGTGGTTTTTCCAGTAGTCATGTATGGATGTGAGAATTGGACTATAAAGAAAGCTGAGCACCAAAGAATTGATGCCTTTGAACTGTGGTATTGAAGAAGACTATTGAGAGTCCCCTGGACTGCAAGGAGATCCAACCAGTCAATCCTGAAGGAAATCAGTCCTGAATATTCATTGGAAGGACCAACGCTGAAGCTGAAACTCCAATACTTTAGTCACCTGATTAGAAGAACTGACTCACTGGAAAAGACCCTGATGCTGGGAAAGATCGAAGGTGGGAGGAGAAGGGGACGACAGAGGGTGAGATGGTTGGATGGCATCACTGACTCAATGGACATGAGTTTGAGTAAGCTCCAGGAGTTGGTGATGGACAGGAAGGCCTGGCATGCTGCAGTCCATGGGGTCGCAGAGTCGGACATGAGTGAGCGACTGAACTGACTGATTGAATATCCAATTCTTCTTGTCCTCTGGCTTTCTCGCGTGAGTGGAAGGTCCTGCCATCCCTTGACTGACATTAGCATTAGCATAGTCCCCTTTCCTTCCTTCTCCTCTTTCTTTTCTTTTGCCCCTTTCTTGTGATGTCACTTATATGTGGAATCTTTTTTAAAAAATGGCACAAATGAACCTATTTACAAAACAAAATAGAGTCACAGATGCAGAAAGCATACTTATGAGGAGGACGGGACCGTGTGGGCAGGGATAAATTGGGAGATTGGGGTTGACATATATACACTACCAATATAAAATCAATAACTGATAAGGACCTACTGTATAGCACATCGAACTCCACTCAGGAGTCTGTAATGATCTATATGAATCTAAAAAAGAGTGCATATATGTATATGCATAATTGATTCGCTTCGTTGTATACCTGAAACTAACACTATACTCCAATAAAAATTAATTGAGAAAAGAAAACATAAAATGAAAAAAAGAACCGAAATTAAAACTCACAGATGTACAACTCTTGCATTCTTATGTTCCTTAAAAAGTTGAAAGATCGGTCAACTAGTTTTATCTAAGATCTGGCTTGGTCTAAAAAGTCGAACTGACTGAAAAAGTCATTTCAAACTGACATTTAGTTTCCATATTAAAAGAGTGCCTGTTAAGCAGCCAGATATGTCCTAGCTGTTAGGCGCATCATGGTCAAATCCATACTGTGTCCACCCTTCCAGAGTTTATGAGCCGGCACGGAGGAGCTGGACCCCTAATTATTACTGCAAATAAATCCAATGATGGAGCTCAGAGTAGGGGTTGTGGACAAGGAGATGGGGGGTTTCCAGCAAGCTGGTGGGATCCAGAGGGATAGTGATGATGGAGGGTCCAGGAGAAGGGGTCTGCTGGGGCTGTGGAGGCAGAGGGCAGCCTGAGTGATGACAAAGGGGAAGGATACTGCCACGTGTGTGGGGGCACCAGGCTTCTGTCCCTGGGACGGAAGGAGGTGGCCCAGAGGAAGCAAAGCTGAGAGCTGAGCTGGAAGCATCAGCAGGGTCCGAGCCGGGGGCGGGAGGGGTGTGTGGATGCCCTGTGACACGGATGCTGAGAGCCCTACGGGAGGGGCCTCGACACGCCTTTGACCCATGGAGACTAGTCCAGGGCAGGTGGAACCACACCATGTCAGCTCAAATCTGACAAGTAGATCTTCCCAGGAGCTAGCGAGTCCCAAGATTCGAGACTCACAGGGCCCAGACTTCAGATCACCCAGCCCTCAGAAGGAATCTCCCCTCTGCAAATGGACAGAAGGCATAAGTCCAAACCTCCTGAATTTAACATGGGGATCTGTGCATTTCTTAGAAAATACGATAAATGACGAGATGAGGTTAAATGTAAGTTACACACTTTGCTTTATCCTCTGCTGCCTGCTGCTCCCACCATCTCTCTCACAAGTTCCTGCCCTGATTGATTCTGGGGGATTCAAGATTCCTCATCCACATGGGAGGGGACTCCATGGAGGAGAGAATTAATCCCTTTGGAGCAAACAAACTGTGACATGACTGAGCAAAGAGTCAGATACGACTCAGCGACTAACAATTGTAACTTGTAAAACAAACTGTACTTGCGTGTCACAGTTTCAGAACAAAGGTGAAATCATATTTTGTGAAAATCCAGGCGACTTCCCTGGTGGTCTGGTGGCTAAGAATCCGAGCTCCCAATCCAGGGGGCCTAGGTTCGATCCCTGGCCAGGGAACTAGATCCCATAACTTGCAACTAAGATCCAGCATTGCCAAATAGATACATATTTAAAAATATATCTAAGTGGGTTTTATCTCTACACTGCCATGTCTCCAGATACAACAGGCAAGAGTAACCACTGCTGGTGGTTTAGTTGCTAAGTCATGTCCGACTCTTTGCGACCCAATGGACTGTAGACCACCAGGCTCCTCTGTCCATGGAATTCTCCAGGCAAGAACACTGGTGTGGGTTGCCATCTCCTTCTCCAGGGGAGCTTCCCGACCCAGGGATTGAACCCAGGTGTGCTACATTGCAGGCAGATCTTTACTGACTAAGCCACCAGGGAAGCTTAGCATTCACTGTGTCCATTTCCTCTGACCTGGCTGGTTGCTCATCTCCAGCTGCCACAATGATGACTCTGTCCTCCTTTCTTATCCACACTCCAAGGCTTTATACCCACTCGCCACAGCTGGCTCTTTCTATAAGATGCGGTCAAAAGGGAGAGGAGAAACCTGCCTGATCCTCTGGATTCAGAGTGATTCACGAGATCCTACACAAATGAATGAAGGTACAAAGGCACATATTTCCTGAGAGGAAAACATCCCCGTTTCTAAGGTCCCTGTAACCTACTGTCCCACCAGGATAAAAAAAAAAAAGATGCAGCTCCTACTCTGACCATGCTTCAAACTGTGGTGTTGGAGAAGACTCTTGAGCCTCCCTTGGACTGCAAGGAGATCCAACCAGTATGTCCTAAAGGAAATCAACCCTGAATATTCTTTGGAAGGAATGAGGACTGATGCTGAAGCTGAAGCTCCAATACTTTGGCCACCTGATGCTGGGAAAGACTGAGGGCAGGAGGGGAAGGGGCGGCAGAGGATGAGATGGTTGGACGGCATCATCAAGCCAATGGATATGAGTTTGAGCAAGCTCCGGGAGATAGTGAAGGACAGGGAAGTCTAGTGTGCTGAGGTCCCTGGGATCACAAAGAGTCAGACAACTTAGAGACTGAATAACAACAAACTCTGACCATAAGGACACTTCAATGTTTTCTTAGAAACAGAGTCCTGTGTAACCTTCATTCCCCTTTCCTTCTTTCACAGTAGATTTCGGTAATACCTCTCTGGCTATCTGAACATATGTGCATGAGAAGTGGGTCACCGATCACTTAGTCCACCAATCAGCCACTGCTTTGGGAGATGTTGCCGGCTGGGAATGGCACTGATCCGCAGACAAGGGAGAATCTCAGAAGTACTGGAATTAAGTCCAGATATATTTCCCAATGTAGTTTCAGAATCTTGTGTAAAACCTTTAGTCTGCGGTCTATGGTACTGATGTCTAAATAAAGAGCTCTAGGCTTAATCATTGCTAAAGTCTCCTTTAACTCAAATATGATAATTACACAGTAGCTTGGGAATATTCAGTTATTTTAATACATTTAGGTGCTTATTTGGTCTACTTATTTTGTTAATCACTGCAGCACGTAGTTTGGAACAGAGACTCATTGTATGACATAGTGTGCTAATAACCATGTGTCCACACAGTATTCTTGCCTGGAGAACCCCATGGACAGAGGAGACTGGCAGGCTACAGTCCATAGGGTTGCAAAGAGTCAGATACAACTGAAGTGACTTAGCATGCACGTACACACCACACACAGCGTGGATGACATTCACACATAAATCAAGTCCAGGTAGATTCCCTTGGTAGCTCAGATGGTAAAGAATCTGCCTGTCAATGCAGGAGACTCGAGTTTGATCCCTGGATCAGGAAGATCCCCTGGAGAAGGGAATGGCTACCCACTCCAGTGTTCTTGCCTGGAGAATTCCATGGACAGAGGAACCTGGAAGACTGCAATCCATGCAGTTCATAAAGATTCAGATACAACTGAGTGACTAACACTTTCACTTTCACCCTTGTTAAGCAACATTGCAAGTTAAGACATATATATTATTTGAATCACTCTAGGTATATAAATTTAGTTCTAACTTTAGTACTTGAAATCTCTTATACTGAGTAAAATGCTTACATTACAATAATATAAGCAAAAAGAACATTAATCAATATGTCAATTAACTAGTGTCTGTCTCCTGGATAAGAGAAATGCATAAACAATTCTAAATAGGGACCTTTTAGTGAAAAATAGGCCTCTGTCTTTACTCTGGTCCATAAAGTCAAGCCTCTTTTCCATTTTGGTCAAAAATTAAAAATAATAATATAAATTACATTTTAATTGCTTTTAAAAGTACTTCTCTATGCCTGTTCTATGTCAATGCTAACCATTTCAACTAGCTCATTTCTTTCTAAGAGATTTTTTGAAAGAGATGTATAATTAATTAGAACAAGAGTTGGGTAATATAGGATTTCCCACATTCTGCCTGGCAACTTACACAAATCAGAAAAATACATGTTTGGCTTTCCTTAGCTTTGCTCAAAGTGATACAATTTATTATTGTCTGTTGTTGGATGCTTTGCATATTCTTATCAAATGTGTATCTTGGCAAATAACCAATTACATTGGATGAGATGGTAGAGATGGTTGTGTATAATGAAATCACCTCAAATCAGGGGGAAAAAACAAAAAAACCCCAAAAAACTTCAGTGAATCAGAGATCACATCTCAGCCACATTTTCCAAGAAGAGTTGGTGGAGGGGCAGCTCTGAAACCAGGGTAGGTCCACATCCTCCTCTGACCTTTTGTGAGTTTGTATCAGAAGTTGTCCTCTCAGCAGAAAGAAGTAACTTCAGTGATAACCCTCCGGTCACTTCTTAAATATCAGGTCACCTTCATTTTCCGACCATAGAAACATACAAGACGTACTTGTTACAGACCAAGTGGGTGAGTGTGTATTTCCCACTTTGTAATTAAGCATGTCCCAGATAGCCACTCAAACGCCCTCGAGCCCTGGACCAATGACTTTATTGCTTAAGAAGAACCGCTGTTATCTTCTGCCCCTTTTTAACCATTAAAACAGTAAGGTCAAACTTTTGCAAGAAGATGTGCTGATTCTTCTAAAGTGCACGCCTGAGCTTTTAAAAGCTACATGTCACAGAGCGCTCTTTGTGTTTTTAGCTGCAAAGAATTTAAAGGGAACACCTCTGTGCTTGTACAATGTGGTTCAGACAGAAGAAAGGACTTCACACAGACAGTGGCACGTGTGAACCAGTTTCACAAGACACCGCAGATGAGTTGGCTCCTAAATTCAGAGATCTGGAGCTAAAGAACAAAAAGGACTGGCAGCTCAGCCCACCCCCTCCAAGGCTTTGCTGAGAGCCTGGGTGCAGCGATGCACCCTCCTTTAGAGGGAAGAGCCTGCTCTTTGTGCCAACAACTGGGGACTGACCCCGGTTCAATCGCCTTAGCCTTCCTTCCGTCACTGCCTGCTGGTCTCACTTACAAACTGAAGGACAGCCTTTGTGACACGGGGCTTAGATGATGCAAAGAGCAGGTTCCTTGATAGGAAACAGGCACACTGTTCCAATGCCTCAGGCTGGAACAGAAGGACCAACATGGATTTAACATAAGGGATGGTGTCTGTGCTTTCTCACCTCTGTCTGCAGGGTGAGGCCAGGGCTCATAAGGATGCACACCGGCAGTGAGGTGATGGCCAAGGGACCTAGCTAAATTCTAAATGTCCTGAAGTTAATACTTGTTGCTCATATTCTCTGAGAACAGAAAAATAGAACTTAGAATGACTTGTCTGACGGCTCTGAAGACAAAGGAAAAGAAAGGCCAGATTGTGCAAGTGAGGACCCAGCTAAATATACCGGCAAAGGCAAGAGTGGAATCTGGGTTCTTGGATTCAGAGTCTGACTGTAAACAGCGGAGTTTCTTCACATTCCACAGGGTTCCCCGGGGGAATGTACTTTAGGCTGTTTCTCCCAGGAATCCTCTGACCCTGAGAGGTAGTGAAGACACATGGGGTTCCATCATACTATCCTTTAGTTTGTTTAAAAGCTCTGTTTCCCTGCTTCTGGAATTACAGCTCCCAGGAGATATGGATGGGTGTGGAAGTTGCTATTTTATTATTATTAATATTACAAAGGGCAAAATAGTCCACACCAAACTCTGGAGACAAAAATCCAAGAATTAACAGAGATGTTACATCCCACTTGCAAACCAGCACTATTTTCTCCTAAGATCATGCGTGTGTGTGTCTGTGTTCAGTCATGTCCGACTCTTTGCAATCCCATGGACTGTAGCCTGCCAGGCTCCTCTGTCCATGGGATTTTCCAGGCAAGAATACTGGAGTGGGTTGCCATTTCCTGCTCCAAGGATTCTTCCCCACCCAGGGATCAAACTCTCATCTCCTATGTCTCCCACATTAGCAGGTGGGTTCTTTTCTCCATTTTTTCTAAAAGTTATGTATTTTTAATTGGAGGATCATTGCTTTACAATATTGTGTTGGCTTCTGCCACACATCCCCATGACTCAGCCACAGGTATACATATGCCCCGTCCCTCTTGAGCCTCCCTCCCACTTCCCAGCCCATCCCACCCCTCTAGGTGGTCAGGGAGCACCGCATTTGAGCTCCCCGAGCCGTACAGCGGATTCCCACTGGGTAACTATTTTCCATGTGGAAATGTATGTGTCCTTGCTACTCTGTCAATTCGCCCCATCCTGCCTTCCCCTGACTATGTCCACAGTCTGTTCTCTATGACTGCATTTTCACTGCTTCCCTGCAAATAGGTTTATCAGTGCCGTCTTTCTAGATTCCATAATAGTAGTGTTATCCACTCAGTCTTGTCTGACTCTTCGCGACCCCATGGACTGTAGCCCACCAGGCTCCTCTGTCTATGGAATTCTCCAGGCAAGAATACTAGAGAGGATTGCCATTCCCTTCTCTAGAGGATCTTCCCGATGCAGAGATTGAACCCGGGTCTCTTGCGTTGCAGACATATTCTTTACCGTTTGAGCTACAGGGAAGTCCTCTAGATTTCTTATGTATGTGTTAATATATGATATTTGTTTTTCTCTTTTTGACTTGCTTCACTCTGTATAATAGGCTCTAAGTTCATTTAGCTCATTAGAACTGACTCAAATGCATTCCTTTTTATGGCTGAGTAATATTCCATGATATATATGTACCACAGCTTCTTTATCCATTCATCTGTCGATGGACATCTAGGTTGCTTCCACATCCTAGCTATTATAAACAGTGCTGGCAGGCGAATTCTTGAGCCATCAGCAAATCTGCTTCTCTTAAGATATTTCTTTTCAAAATGGACAGCAAGTGATGGCAGCATCCTGTATGGCTTGGTGCAGGAAGAGCTGAATGAGTTAAGAAAGGACAGACCAGCTTTATGAGGAAGGTTCTCATAGGAAAATGAATGGAGGCCACAGAAGGGTGGATTAGGGCTGCGGGTTAGGACTGCTGGGGTCCCAGGGATGGTGCTTCCAGAGCTGGGGACCCGGACACTCACAGGACAGGTGGCGACGCTCTGCTCCCACTGCGTCATACTCAGGCTCTCCTCCAGGGTTGTGCATTTCTTCATCACCACGTCCCAGCCACAGTACGGGTCCTGGGCCCCGATGCAGGCACTGAAAATACACACCAAAGGGTCAACAGAAAGGCAAAATACACACCAAAGTGTCAACAGAAAGGCAGATGAATCTAGAACAAAAGAGGTAAGCTAAGAGTGGACCCTCAGGACTTGATGTAGGAACTAGTTATGTGAAACAAAAGCTTCGGTCTGCACATTAGAGAACACAGCTAACTGCATACACCACTAAGTATCTAATTAAAATTAAATAAGTTAATTTTAGCTAAAATGTCTATTTTTTTCTAAGATACAGAAAAAGATTATCGGTGCTAACATGGTGACTTTTGGTGTTATGAATGATCTAAAGTCACACTTTTGCTCAAGAATACTAGCTATTACCTCCACCACCACCACAACCAACATCATCCCATGAATAACAGGCATTATTTGTGACAAATAAAATCATTACATCATTGATACACTAACAGCTTTTAAGGAAGGTATTAATATTTTCACTTTATTTATCATCATAATCATTATCAGTACCACCACCATCATCATTACTACATCATCCTCACCCACTTAATAATAGGTATTATTGGTTAAACAGACTGTGATATATGATATATATATATCATATATATATATATGATATATATATACTTATATATACTTATATATACTTATGTGATATATAAGATTATTACATCATTTAACCATTTAAACAACCGTAATGAGGGAGGTATTATTATTTCAACTTTACTGATGAGAAAAAGGAGACACTGAAAATTTCTAAAATTTGCCCAAGGAAAAACAAATACACCCCCAAACCTGTAACATGACTGGTTCAAATATAATATAATAGAGAAGTCTTCCTTTTGAGTAGCAGACATTAAAAATGTATTAAAAATTTCCATTTACTAGTGGTCTAGTATAGCCTTGTCTACAATATTCAATATATTATATCATAAATACTATAGATGGTAGATACTTTATTCTAGCTGTGTCTAAATGAAAGAGTTCATATACAACATGGGCATGATCAGATGAAGATTTCTGGCCAACAACAACAGCAACATGCAATAGAAGGCTGGGGATTCCCTGGCAGCCCTGTGGTTAGGGTTCTGTGCTTCCAGAGCAGGCGGCACAGGATTGATCCTGGCAGGAGCACTAAGATCCTACAAGGCATGGGGTGTGGCCAAAAATAAAAATAAAAAAAATCCAGTATATGTGGGGATGGAGGAAGCAGACAGAGAGAACAGTGACAGGGCCAGAATGGCACAGAAGATGCTCCCACAGACCAGCAGGCCATTGGACACTTTCTCTTAAGAGTCAGGAGGTCAGGGACGCAGGGCACGGCAGTGGGCAAAGGCAGCGAGTCCAGCCTAGGAGTGACAAGGTCTACCAATTTAGGATGGAGCTTACAAGAGACTGTGGCCACCTCCAACACTTCAGCCACCTGAAGTGAAGAGCCAGCTCATTAGAGAAGACCCTGATGCTGGGACAGACTGAAGGCGGGAGGAGAAGGGGACGACAGAGGATGAGATGGCTGGATGGCATCACTGACTCAATGGACATGAGTGTGAGCAAGCTCCAGGAGACAGTGAAGGGCCGGAAGCCTGGCGTGCTACAGTCCCTGGGGTCGCAAAGAGCCAGACACGACTGAGTGATGGAAGGGCAACAACAATATGAGATTGAAGATGCTATAGAGTTACCAGTCCTCTGAGAGTAGGGCTACAAGTTCTAGCCTAATCATCAAACGTGGGGCCAGGGAGGTAGTCTAAACAATAATGTCATTAATATTAATTATATTAAAAACCCCTTATTAACAAATCAAATAGGCTAACCTTGTATAGAGTGCTGTTCTAAGAACTTGACCTCTATCTCCTCATTTAAGCCTCATAAAAGCTTTAAACACAGTACCCCCATTAGACTCCATTTAGTCTCATTTTAAAAGGAAAGAAACATCAAAGAATAGAATGGATACAAAGGAGAAGTCCAAGTTCCACAGCCGGGGATGGTGATCCAAAGGTAATGAATCAAGCAAGAGAGGAAACTATGACGGATTAAGTTACTACGCAATGACTGTTTACTAACCAGCCAAAGTTCAAAGGGTTAAAACTGGTGCTTCTCACTGCAGGACCAGGCTGGGGTAGAAAGGATTGTCAAACAGTTACCTTTACCATAACCTCACTGGAACTTTTTGGTAAGTGACCCTGAACCTGTTAAAAGGTACACTGAGGCCTATTAAACTGTTCAGTGGGACTTCCCTGGTGGCTCAAGTGATAAACAACATGCCTGCTCATGCAGGAGACACAGGTTCAATCTCTGTGTTGGGAAGATTCCCTAGAACAGGAAACGGCAACCCACTCCAGTATTCCTGCCTGGGAAATCCCACGGACAGAGGAGCGTGGCGGGCTACAGTCCGTGGGTTGCAAACAGTAGGACACAACTGAGTGACTGAACAACAGCAGAGACACAACTAAACCAAAGAGTTTATTTGGGAGCTAAGATGGGGTTTTATAGGGAAGACCCCCTGGTGGCTCAGAGGAAGAGTCTGCCCACAGTGCGGGAGACCTGGGTTTGCTCCCTGAGTCAGAAGATCCCCTGGAGAAGGGAATGGCTACCCACTCCAGTATCCTTGCCTGGAGAATCCCATGGACAGAGGAGCCTGGCGGACTACGGTCCATGGGGTCGCAAAGAATCGGACACGACTGAACAACTAACACTTTCACTTGAGAAGCAAAGCAAGAAAGTGATTTGATTGCCTGCAGCTTAAAAGGTACTTTACTTGGGAAAGCCTGGTTGGCTGCTGCCCTCTTGTTCTTGAGTTCCACCTTCTCTGATCCCAGTGCACTGACTGGGTCAGGCAGGACTGGTGCCTATTCCTACGGAGACAGCCCTGCCGGACACTCAGTGTACATCACACAGTGGGATCTACTATGTGTTTGATCCTGCTTTCCTGTCAGTGGGCAAATAGGGCTTCGAGAATTATTCAAGAAGCCTGGATTTGATCTCACGCTTTTTTTTAAAAATTACGGCAAACTGTCCATGAGACAAACTTCACCTTCCAAAAAAGAAGGAAATTTCATCGAGCCCCTAATTTTGCCTGAGACTTCCCCTTGCAAAGTTGCCTATAGAACTGAAGCAATGCCCCAGGGTTACAGGGAATAGTTAAGCTGCTTTATATGAAAAGTGGCTTGCAACAACATCTCTTTCTTCTGATACTACTGATGGGTCTGCAGTTTCTTAAAATTACACTTAAAACACTAAAACTTCTCTATAATCATAAGAGCCCATTCATTAAAAATACCATTTATATATAAACATGCTTACCTCACTGTAAGGATTTCATACCACAAGGCACATTCCAATGATCTCTACCTATATTCTAAATTACACCTTAAGGAAAACTAGCAATAACTTCTTAGTTTTGGAAAGTGGGTCTCTGAAGGAGGTCATGTCAAAAGTCACAGACTCCCTATTAATGCAGCCATTGTGAAAATGGCTTTTCGTTATTCCACCATGAAAATGTTTTTCTTTCTGTGATGAGTCTTTTCAATAGTATTTTTTCTTATTTTGTTAAGAACTTTATATTATTTTCAGCTGACATATTGCTCTAGCATCTGAAAGTATCTGAATTCAGAAAAAAATGTTGGTCAGAATCGGAGGTTCAATTTGAAAACACATTTATTGAAAAGAGTATTTTAGAACAAACATATATTGAGAGGTAGGCCTTAATTCTGGAAGGATAAACTACTTTCCTTTTTACAGGAAATTTATCTAATGACATTAAAATTTATATAATCTCTTCCTTTACTTTTTAAAGTTTGCAGTTATGCTACTTGTTAAGTTGAGTAATAGAAAAAAGAAATGCATATTCATCAAAATCTTTCCACTGTATTTCTAGAAAGTTGGAGCTAATTACTGAATATCATCCTCTTGAGTATTAGATTAAGTATCAATGACTTCATCTGGCTTGTTTCTATCACACTAACTGCCACTATGTCAACTTATATTTGATATTAAGAATTTTTGCTGTGTTAACAAAATTTATTCATGAAACATGGAACATCAAAAGTGTTCCCATCATTCATTTCTTCATCACATGCTTAGCACCAGCTGTGAACTGACCTTGAAAGTGATGGGTGGACCAGGCAAACAAAAGAGACACAGTCAGTGTACCAAAGAACTCACCTCTTAGCGAAGGAAATAAACATAAAACAACTACAACAGCCAGTTGCAAAGGAAAAAAAAAAAAAAGAAATGAAAAGGGGATGAGGAAGTATGCAGAGAGAGGCATTTAAGCTGCGACCAATAAGATGACCAGAGTGATCTACATGATACTTTTCAGGGAAAATAGAACATTTTAGTAGGAAGATCAGCATGAGGCAGCAAGACCAGGTGGGAGAGATCTTGAGAGTCTAAAGAAACACCCAGTAAATGGAGGTGGGGTTTTGGAAGAAGCTTGGTGTGTAGAATCTGCTGAGCACTCCAGCATCCCTCCCTAAGGACTTAGGATTCCTAGTAAATGCTGCATGCACCTTTAAAATGTTTCCCAAATTCTGTGCAAGAATCATTACATGTCAAACATCAGTATTTACTTGTATTATCATGATGATGACAGTGAGAGAGAGAATAATTTATCTGTTCATGAATGATAGTGCCTTAATTTCTAAGACAATCTCGGGGGCCTTATTCTTAACCATTAAGTCACTATATACTTCAGAATCTGCTTTTACTTTGAGCTGCATTAAAAGCATTATACTACTAAAAATAAGATGGAGACATTCCAATTAGACAGTAACCTTTCTGAAGAAGAGTTTTCCTCGTGGCTCAGATGGTAAAGAAACTGCCTGCAATGCAGGAGACCCAGGTTCCAACCCTGGGTTGGGAAGACCCCATGGAGAAGGAAATGGCACCCACTCCAGTATTCTTGCCTGGAGAACCCTATGGACAGAGGAGCCTAGTGGCTTATAATCTATAGGGTCCTAAAGAGGTGGATACAACTGAACAACTAATACTTTCACTTCCTGAAAAATGCATCGTAAGACATCC